AAAAACTCCTTGCAAAACGAATGAAATTTCCTGGTGGGGTCTTCATTTGAGATACGAAGTCCTAGGTAGTCAACCGAAATCATAAAAATCTATGTTCACTCGAAGGTATTGTTCAGAGATCATGATTCAGGCGATTAGGTGAATGGGTGATGGCTCTGTGGGTGGAGCGACCAAATCGATAAGTATACAATCTCACTTGCCTACTCGCATGATCGATAGGTATCCCATTCCTTCTAGCCTGATTGCCTAATCGCAAGTGTGATCCGAACTATGAACATTGCCTTACCTCCATTTGCTGTTGCCTCTGCTCCGTCAACGCCTTCGATGCAGCACGTTGGGTTGACGCCGTCGACTCCACAACCTTTGAGGACTCCTTCGGCACGGCTGCTTCCGCCTAGACACTCCCTTCCATTACTTGCAATTATCAGAGGCTATATATTAAAGTAACCTTTCTAGTAGCCATAAGTTCTTCTGGTGAATCAATAAATGAGTTCGTCTTTGAAGGTGTATCTATCGACATCCCGTTACTCTGATTGCAGTATTGGGCCGGTCGAATTTTGTACAGCGATTCACATACATTGCCCTGAATGTGAAATTTACAAATCGAGACTCATGTGAGTAAAGAAGCGTTCGATGCAAAGGATGTTATGAGTAGAGCACAAACCATACTTCTCTTATTAAATGTTGCCATTAATAAAGGTCTTCTGCTACTAAGAATAATCGTGCAAACATAACTTCAATGCGCAGGTATTAGCTGACCGTATTGCCAGAATAATTGGTGCATTCATTACCTTTTATGCCGAACAATGGTAGACTAAAATATAAATTTGCCATAACAAGCTTCGAAAGCCTTGAAGAAAGCTCAGAGTTCTGGAAAGGTGATTAATCATATCCCTATAAGAATAGGATATTTCAACCTATTATTGGTCATGTCCAAGGATGCCGTCGGGTAGCGCATCTATCACAAAGCGAAGGTTGTGGTCCCGGAAAAACACCGCTTTGTGACTGCATGAAACCCATTGATCCTAAACTTTCCACTAATTCTTCGAAGTAAAGCCCCGATCGCCTTCAGTCTTTGGGAGATTGAAAGATCAGACGCAAATGAAAACGATGCGTATTGATTGGGAGAAGGGAAGAATAGAAGAGTAAGAGAATCAAGATTAAGAGAACAAGAGAACTAGATGTTGGCAAATTCTGCTAAAAAATTAGATTGGTAAGATTTGACTTCCAATTTTCTATTCTCTCATTCACTTAATCAACAGAAATACAGATTTAATTTTTTACCTCCCGAGGTACCTCCTGTTCTCCTGATCTCAGCCTTTCTCTTCTCGTACAAGATTACACCCCCCCCGCCCAATTTATGGGTACAAACAGGGCTTTTGAATCGTCGCAGGTCGTCATCGTAGGTCGACGTCGTGACCGTGTGCAAACCTTTCGCCCGATACTCTATCTTAAAGCAACAGTTCAGGAACGGTTTCGCGGGAAAAAACCACCAATAATGAAGTTGTAGATGAAAACCAGACGATTAATGTATGAAAAACTGGAAAAAAACGTCGGGGAGGGTCTTAGACAGGTACTCTCCCTCTGCCGCTCAGCAATGGATAAAGACGCACGTTGGACGAGTTGTCTGAACGTGCCCGCTGTAAACGCGCTCCATTTTTCAATCAATTTTCCCTGTGGTCCCAAAACGAGCACGATTGCCGACGCGTCCAATGACGGCCGGCAAGGGGGCGGGATTGGGGAAATCCCCAAGAACACCCATGTTTGAGGGACTTTCCACCCTGTTTTTGAGTTTCTGAGGTAAGTTCGTTTATTATTTCCACTGCATATGTTCTTCACTAGGGCTCGTGTATCCCTCAGTAGTAGTGGCATTGAAATTTTCGGACCCTCCCTGAACTGTTGTATAACTTCGTATATATTCTGACCAAGAACGGAAGCACCTCCTCTAGGACAGACAAAATGAAGGCGGAGTTTTGAGTGATACAAGCATTATGCCGAAATATAGGAAGCATTCATGCCACAACTTCTTCATAATATAGGTGGCAGTAACTACTTCCTCGTTGGTGATGTGAAAGATCAAAGGGGTCGAATTGAGCGAAGCTAAAGACTTGCGAAAGAGATTTCGTAACAAAGGCATGGAACGTTGCACTGTGTGCATTCATTAAAATATGTTCGAACAAACGAGGGAAAGACTTTCCAACACTTCTGCTCGCCCAGATGGAAACTCACTGGCTGGCTCATTCCGGACGGCGCTATCAAGGATGGATGTGTTACTGCAACGCAAAGAGCCACGATTCTAACGACGTCGACAAAGCAGCAGGTGGTTACTGTAACCCATGTGAAGTGCCAAAATTGAACAAATCATGTACTGCGGTTCAGTGTTCCTCTTGCTTGAGGGCAGATGATTTTCCTATAACCTTGATTTTCACCCGCGAAACTCTCGCCTGAGGTAGTGAGGAGTAGATAGCGTAAGACCTCACTCATCCTGATTCCTTTTATATCGGCAACATCACAGACTTATATCAATATATTATCGAGAATTCTAAATAAACTCCATCTTTAGCAATCTTCTCTTTCTTCATGATAGCTAAATATGAGTAGGAAAGAGAGGGGGAGAAACTGCACGGCGCCATTTGCCGGAAAATCGCCTTGAATCTGCTCTCGTGTATTATTTTTTTGTGACATTTTATAATTGACTCTTTCTCGTAAACCGCGCATTGTAATAGAATCATAAAGAAATAGACCTCAACCTTGCCGAAACGATTTTTTGTCGCAATAACGCAATAGAAGAATAAGGAAGCGAATAAATAAATAGATAAATAAGTAAATAAATAAATAAGTAAATAAACAAATAAATAACACTACGCATGTAGATAGATAATTAGGTGAATAATACAATAGGTTCACCCACCATTTTCTGTGGCGATAACATTGTGCCGAGTTCTTTCTCTCGAAACGACAAGTATTTAATCGAACCGTCCTGCGAGGATACCACCAAATCCGTGCCACGCCACGACATATCCGTGACGGAGTGCTTGAATAGGCGCTGCAGTACTACGACAGGGCGCTTCACTCGTGGAAGAACCCACACCGAGAGTGATTTGTCTCGAGATCCAATGGCGACGCAAGTTACCTACAGATGTGAGGATTGGCGGATCGATCCAATCGTTGATGGGATCCGAAATTTACGAAACAGGAAAATATTCGCAATGGAGCCTTTCTCGTTTCTTTGAGGAAAGCCGAAAAAAATAAGCTAGTCGCAAAATGATACCTGGATGGTTTTCCCGCTGTAGTCCACATACGACAACAGACGAGGGCACACTCGAATAGCAGTTACTGCCTAAATCAAAATATGGAGTCCGTGCAGCTTAGAATGTGAGCAAATTTAAAACGGAGGTAAAAATTAGGAGGCACCACCATCCGTTCTAGCTGATAGTGGTGGTTGACGTGTGCAACACCATCATGGAGACAACACCTTGTGTTTGGTTTCAAATTGTAACACAGCAGGGACCCCATCAATCTTATAAGTCTCACTACCTCTAGAGGAACGATACTTTGCCATAGAGGCAGTTCAATCATAAGAGTTACAATGGTACTCGTAATGGGAAGAGTATCTCGCGATTACCCTCGTTTTGCAGGCTCTGAAGAAGGTGGGAAGCACTGAAACGTCGGCCTTAATGAAAGTTATGGTCAATCTTGGTTGGAAACTAAGCAACTACGCTCTCATATCCCTGTTTCACAATCTATCCGCTGGTGGGTAGACAGTAAGCTAATAGGGTATCTTACTTTCGGCTTAACAATGCGTAGTGGGCTTACATTTTCATCACTCCCCCTACCCTCTATCGTCGTCTAAGTCGACGATCTTAATCCCTAATCGTCGCCTCCTGTCTAAGTCGACGATCTCTAAGTTAGTCACGCCCCTAAACCAACAAGGGGTCAAGCAGGCTCAGAGTTGGCACTCACCCTCCTTACACCGGTAACAAGACGTTGGTTTATTATTGCTCTGTAATTGCAATAAATATTATAACTTGACTATTGCATTGTTCTCAGTTGAGACATCGGTCCGGATCCGGCACCATCACTCAGAAATTGGGTCATAAACAAGCAATCCACTGAACCACCCAACATTTTTGGTGCGAAAAGCCCATAACATCAATATAAGTGGCACACCCTTATTACCATCCTTTATTCCATATCCTCATTGGGCGCCTTGCAATTGTGCTCTACTGGGGCTGCACGTTGACCTTTCTACAGACGATAAGGACGAGGATCCCTTTGCATTTTCACTGTTGCATGCCCTTTCTTAAAGCACTACTTGTGAGGAAAAGGAAGAAAATTCAAAAGGGATTTTTCTCCTAGCCTGGTGGAAAGACGGCCCCTGGTTTTTGCGACCCTCTGGTCTCTGTCCGTTCTCGTGCCCTCATGATGAGAATCTGGACTCACAATCTACCTCTGCGCCGTAAGCCAGTCATTGCCATGAGACAACTACGCATAGTACCCTCGCTCAAGGCAATTTCGAAGCTTATTTTGTTTTTCTCACGCCCAAGTCACCAACTGAGCCAGTGGGTGTAGGTGAGATCCATCCCTGCCATTGCCTGTTGAGAATGGAGTAGTTGGTAATAGGCCAACTCAAACATAACAGTAATCACAGGGCGGAAACAGGGTTGTTATGGGTAGATTACATTCAAGAAAATTAATGGAACACATGACCGCGCTTAGCAGCGTCTTTGAGCATTGTGCCATTCTTGTCACTGGCAGCCGAATAAATACAATACATCCGCAAAAGAAAAAAAAATAGAAATAAGAGGAATCGCCAGAACTCACTCGTCGATGGCCCACCAGGTCAAGCTCTGTGTCCCAATCTTTACGCATGATGATTTGAGCTGTAGGACCTTGGTTGTTCATAGCGCATGGCGCAAATAAAAACTGTCCATCAGGCGACCAGTCGAGGCGTGAGAACATCGTCGTTTGGCTGCTCTAAAAATTCTACAACATTTGCGAAGACTGAAGACTTGCACGGAAGCCACAAAATAATCAAATGAAGAGGAAGATAAATTATACCGTAATTTCTCACCTGACTGAAATGGTTTCGTAATCACCGTGTCGCATTGCCAATTATCGGTGGTCCACAAACGGAGCGACTAAAGAAAATTGCGGTGATATTCTGAAGCTCAATTTCAGTGCCGGGAGACCACTCAGGATATCCACCGCGCGGTGAACGTGCAGAAATGCACGGTATTCCTAATTAGTTGTCTAGGCTTGCAGGTGTTTCAAGGTCAAATCAAGCCAGGGCAAATGACGTCGCACACCGTTTATTTCGCGGTATAAATTCAAATAAACCTCACAACTGGGTAATTACTTTCCTTGTTTGGAATCTCATGGTCAGAGATAGTAAGGAGTACTTCATTCACGTAAAAAAAGCAAAAGAGAAAAGAAGCACAAAATAGGTGGAGAGTATTCGGTAACACTCCATCTAATAGATTTCCACCCACACACTGTAGAGGATGTGAGTTTGATTGGACACGTTCGGAGAGTCCCGCGTGGTGGACCTCCTGATGAACTCTCGTCTACTTCACTACGAAACTCTGGAACTAACCTTATCAGCTGATTGTGTGGCTAAGTATTTTCCTATGGGATCCCAGCTCAGCCCTTTCACCGGACCGTTGTGTCCACCACGTGATGTGTCTAACACCACAATCCTTTCTGAATTGAAAACAAATTTTTAATAGCATTTTCTTCAGTTGAGAAATCTTTTCGGTTTTTTTTTGTCAAAAAATCTTTTACATAAAGTCTTAGACTATTAGTTACAAGGAAAAAATGGTCAGAACTTTTGTGGCACTACTTCAATATCTGACTGACACATGTAAACATTAAGGGGGGGGGTTCCTAGAAAAACGCTATAAATGAACGGATTAGGAGCCTCCCCCTTTTGTTCCTCACACGAGATATTTTCGGGAAAGTCAGGCAAGATAGCAAGAAACATTGGAACCAAGGTGAAAGAGTCCTGATAGTCCTGAAATTCAACTCCCACTTCTTTTGCGAAATATCCCAGGCATAAATAACACTGTATAGCAAATAACGAAGAAATGAACGGCGTACAAGTATATTATATTTTAAAGGTTTCAAATACTCCATAACCCATTTATTAATTTTTCCTCTTGTTCTTTATTCATCCAAATATCTATCTGTCACCTAGTGACATCTACCACCTAATATGTTAAGGATCTTCGAATGAATGAAGAATACAAAATTTCAAGCTCGGGTTAAGAGGCATTTC